CCTGGCACCCAGGGGAGTCTCTCCTATGCCCAGAGAGCTCTCCCCTGAGTTCTCTGTCTTGCCCTTCTACTAATCAGTAATTGCTGACTCCTTGCTTGCCCTCACTAGTGTCTGTGAAGTCTTTTTTTCAGACCTGAAAAGAAGTCTCGAGGGAAGACTTTCCCAGGTTTGGAAGCAGGGCCCCTAAATCTATCTCTCTGAGCCCGGTGGGTGAGCAGTAGATAGTGTGACTGGTTTGCTTCCAGTTTATCTACCTGTGATGTTGGAGGGTGGGCTTGGACTGAGGGGCCTGAGGCCTGCTCTCTTGTCTGGTGACATAACTATATTGGGACTTTGCAAGAAAGAGAGGTGAAGGTAAAATAGAATAATGGGGATATAAGAGAGCTAACTCATCCTCCAAGGTAGGATTACCTAGAAATGGAAAATAAAAATGAAATAACCAGCACTAAAATGGTATTTGGGAACATGGTAGTAAGTATGAGAAAGACAGAGGCAAAAGAATTGAAAGCAGTTGCCTCTGGGGAGGCAGTTCAGCACAGATTCAGTAAAAGCCTTTTAGAACTTAACACTTTTAAGACTATATATTTTTTATGTTGACCAAAGTAGACTATTAAAAAACAGCCTTGAGAGGAGTGAGATGGAAACTACCAGAAATAAAATGAAGGTGTTTCTGCTAAAGATCCCAAAGTCAGTATTTTTGAAGTGGTTGTCCCTCAGTCTCCTGCATTCAAATTACCCAGCATTTCAGTTCACAATGCAGATGTATAGTCCCATTCTAGATCTAAATAATCAGCATTTTTCAGGGTGGGACTCCAGAACCTATAATTTTCAAAAATTCTCATGGACCCACTACATTATTTATAGCCTTATAGTAAATCAACCAAACGAAATGAAAAACAACAACCAGCTATGTAGAAACAGTGACCTATAAATCAAACTATGGCAGAGACTGCTAGCTGCTCACCCAACATCCACTCTCCCCTTAACAGAATCCCTATTTTGTGGATTTAGCAACATGTCCATGAAAACTCTAGATTAATTCTCTTACAGTTTATCAGTGGCTATGTGACATATATCAATGAGATATAAGCAGATATAAGAGCTATTAGAAGCTTTCTAGGTGGGGCTTCCAAACAAGCTCTTATGTTATAAAATAAGGACAGACTCAGGTGGTCCATGCCTTCTATTTTTATTTCTGCCCTTCTTATGGTAAGCACCGCAGAGTGGCCTGTCTTTCAAGTAGGATAAAAGTCCCACACTAAGGATGGTGATGCAGGAAGACAGAAGAGAGAAAACAAACTGGAAAAAAAAAAAAAAACCAAAAAAAAAAACCAAACTCCTCACTTATTAAGGCGCTGTGATAGACTTTTTTGTTAGTTACAGCTGAATGAAGTCTTAATGGCATCTCATACTATTCACATGCTTATGTGATATATATTGGACACATGATTGGGCACCTGCTGTGCTGTGGGCACTGTGCTGAGTCACACACTGGGTCAGACAGTTAAGGCGCTGTCCTCATGGAACAAGGAATACAGTTAGAGCTGAAGAATCCAGGACTGAGTCTAGGATTCAAGGAAGCAATGGTTTTCTGTCACAGACCCCAGAGCAATGGAGTAAATCAAAATAAACCACTTGATTTATGTATCTAGGACTCTTTCAGGGACCACATGCCAGAAAGATCAATAGCTTGAATCTTGGGAGACTTAGGTTTTTGCTGTAGTTCTTCAGCAAAGTACATCTGGGGGTGATTAATTTTTCCTGACTCTACTTTTCTTCTTTGAAAACTAGGAAGATTGAATTTCATCTTTCTGGCTACCCTCAACTCTAAAATATTTTTGTGATTACTTGGACCAAGATGGACATGAAACAGACCAGACCAGAATGTTTCCACATTTAGATTCTGAGAGTCAGAAAATATATTAAATAAATTATCAGGGATAATTATTAAATAAATTTATAAAATAAATTTATTAAATAAATTATCAGGGAAAACATATAAATAAATTATCAGGGAAAACAATTATCAGGGAAAACAAAATACCAACACCTCCTACCCCAAAATAAAACAAGCAAGCATCCAGGAGGGAGCAGGATTTTGTGAAAGAAGTTCTAGTTTGAATCCTTGTTCTATCAGCTGTTGCTCAATGTCTCTAAATTTCAGTCTCCTCATTTATGAAACAGGACTATTACACTATTACACTATTGCTGCTTCTGGACATTATCTTCTACTTTATAAAGCCCTTATGTGACTGATACCAGCAATTTATTAATAATGACGTATCTAAATTCTGCAAAGGAAACACATGAGTGTGTATTGCTATCTTCAATTTTGATCTTCGTCACAGAAGACTGATCTTTTGAGTTTCCTTCTCTCTCAAACAGTGTAACTGGTGACCCATTTTATTTTATATGAGAGTAGAAAAGGGAAACAAAACCAACTAAAATTCAAATCACTTCTGTTTGTTTTTAGCTAATAGTAATAAAGGTGGGGGGAAAAGGGGAGCTGAGTTCAAGTGAAGTGTGGGGGTTACAACACTTGCCTATAGCCTTGGACTATTTCTAGGCAATATTGCATAGCATCATGAGTAGTTCTAATCTCATGACCTGTCTATAGAAAGAAATGTAGAACTGAAATCTGTCTATATACACATCCATTAGTTGATGACAGAGTACTGACTTCTTTTACCCATAATTATAAAATGTTTTGCAATAAACAGGAACTTTGATGATGGGAGTGGCTCCACATATGGTAAAACTGCACTAGCCCTTGTTTAACAAGCAGTTAAGTTTGAGGAAAAGAGATAATCTTTTGATTATAACAAACATAATTAGTATCTGCAGTTTGACCAATTAGGCATGAGCTCTGAGGATAACTTGAAGGTGGTGGGGGGCTAAGAGAAGTTATTCTCCGTTCTTCCTCCCTTACCCAGCCCTTGCCAAATCCTGACTAACTCAAATTGCTATTTGCTATAATTAGACAACAAACACAGCCAAGGAGAAGTTGGGGAAGATGCCAAATAGAATCACTGCTGCCAAACACGACATTCAGTAGCTCACCTCTGCCATCACAACCGACATCCATGGAAAAAAGAGAGGGCGGGTGGAACCGCAGAATATAAGGCAAACGAAACAGCCCAAATGCCCCAAAATAGATGACTGGATCAAGAAGATGTGGTACATATACACCATGGAATATTACTCAGCATTCAAAAAAGATAAACACATGCAATTTGCAGCAACATGGATGGCACTGGAAGGGATCATGCTCAGCGAAATAAGCCAGAAAGAAAAAGAAAAATACCGGATGGTCTCACTCATAGCAGGAATCTAGAAAACTTAAATAAGGGACCAGGAAAATGAATAACTATAAGAAAGTGAAAATCAAAATCAACAAAAAACTATGAACCAGAGACACTTTTTGCGGGGTGGGGGGCGGGAGGGGAGGGATTGGGGTCAAAATGGGGGGGGGTTGCAATTGTATGGGGAATATAAAAATAAAATTAATTATTTAAAAAAAAAAAAGGCAAAACGAGCAGTATGAGATAAATAAGAGGTGGTAGTGTTTCCACCTCCCATGAAAGAAGGGAGAAGAAATCAATGCCCTTTGGCACCCATAAAACCAGAACAAATTATGCACAATTAGTAATAATCCTTCACCCTTGTAAAATCAAGGGACCCTATTTTGTAAAGCCTTGATATCAATTCCATTTCTTTCCCGGGAAGTTTAGGAACAGAGGGTAAGGAAATCATGACTAAGTTGCCACTCTCAGTCATGGAGAACTAAGCCTGACACAGCACTGGAGCCACCTCACTTACTGCTCGTCCCACCCCGTGAACCAGATGCACATCTGGTTAAAAACAGTACAGGTTACTTATGAACAATAAGCCATGCTACCGCTTCAAACAATGCAAAAATACAGGTAAAGTTCTCAAGCCACTTTAGAAGCCAAACAGCGGTGGGTGGGGCAAGTTCACAGGGTGAAGGATGAGGAAGAAAATGGCAGCTGAAAATGTGAAGGCAATGGCCATTTGTGTGACTTTCAGAAGAGGTGCCTAGCTAAAAAGTTTTAAATGATCTATTTCATAAAGCAATGGGTTTCCCTTGCTGAACACAAATCCTACAGCCAGGCCCACATCACTTCTTCACAGTTTATCTCTCGAGACCTAGATAAGGTCACTTAAAACAATTTTTAGGTCCACCTTAATTAACCCTCTCCAACCACTGCTAATCCTACCTCTTGGCTCCTGATATCCGTTTCTACCCTCTGGCTTTTTAGAAGACGCTAAATAAATAGCTCAAGGGACTTTATCAATCCATGGCCTCTTATTTATCAATCCATGGCCTCCAGATTTCCTGACCTAAAGAAAGTATCTGGCTCGTGTATTTGAGGATTATCGCTGCTAAGAAGAGACACTGGGGATACCCACGCCCACTGCCACATGGAGACACTGAGCACAGCTTTGGTCTCTGGGCCAGAAAGGAGCCCCCACAAGCGGGTTGTCCTTGGATCCTGGGGCGCAATGGAGAGCTGGGACTTCAGGCTCCCCAGTTCCTCTCCACCCGCAACGCGATGGACCAGACTGGCTGGAGACGCAGGGGTACCCATTCCAGGACCGCCAGCCACAGGACACAGGGGCGCGGGGTGGAAGCCGTGGGGTGCGCTCCAGCCCCTCCCACCTCCTCTGCCCCAACTCCCTGCCCTGCCCGAGAGCTCCCTCCTCCGAGTTCGCCTCTAATCCCAACTCCCTTCCGGTCCCCGAGCCCCCAACTATCCCGAGCCCCTCTTCCGGTTCCACTCCCCTTGGGGTCCAAGCCCCCGCCCCTCCGAGGCTCCTCCTTCGAACCCCGCTCCACTTTCGAGTCTCCCTCCCAATCCAGCCCAACCTCCCTCAAGGTGGGAGCCGCCTACCTGTTGGCGCCCCCTTCCCACCCGAACGCCTCCTAGTCCGAGCCTCGCACCCCCTCTTGGCTAGCCCCGCTCGCGGCCGTGCCTGACCTGCGCCTTGCGCCTCGCGCCGTCGCTGTCCCCGTCGCGCTCCGAGTGCAGCCGCCACCCAGCAGGTGAGAGCACCCGCCCGCCCAGCCAGGGGCAGGGCCCCCAGTCGGCCTTCCGCCCTGCCACCCCTCCCCGCCGCCGCCCGCTGGCTGCACCTCCGGCCTCCAAAGCCCACACGCCCTTGGCCCTCTGGCCGAGGTGTCCCCTGGCCCCCGACACTCCCTAAGGCGTGTGCTCTCACGCAGACCTGTTCCCGGGTACCAAGGAGGGTGATGCAGAGCCGGTGCAGAGCCTGGGAGGCGGGAGGACGGGGAGCCGAGGCCGCTGTGAGAAGACTGTTTGCCAAGCGCTGCAATCACCTTGGTCAAACAGGCGTGCGGACTAGTCACCCCGCCACCCTTCCGCGAAGCAAGGCTCTGTGTCATATCTGGACCAGAATCCAGTCTTCGGGTGTAACCTTGGCGTTCCAATGAGTCGTTCACTCGTTCACTGTCATTCATTCATTCATTCATTCATTCATTCATTCATTCATTCATTCAAAACTCTTGCACCTGCTAAGCACAGTTCAAAGTGCTGGCGATAGAACTACAAGGCGAACGAAGTTCCTGTCTTTAAGGAGCATGCTTCTTGCTGGGGAATGCCTGATTTTTTTTTTTTTTTTTTTGGTAGTGTCTGGTGTTCTCAAGCCCCCTATAAGTTAAGGGGGTGGCCCAGTTGAATAGTTTCTCACCCTGCTGTTGCTCATATTCCCCGTGGAAGTTAAAAGAATGCAAGCGCTAAGGCTGCATCTTAGATCTGCTGATAAGAAGGTGGGGAGGTGAGCCCACACCTACTTGCTGAAAGATACTCAGGTCACCTGGGGAAGTAGGAATTGAGAACCTGTAAAATGCCATCCAACTCATTCCATTGGGGAGGGCACCAGAAACCAAGGAGAGCTTCCTGGAAGAGATACTGTATTTAAGTTTTTAAAGGAAAGGCAAAGATAGACACCTGCAGAATGGAAGGAGAGGAGATCCTAAGTGCAGCTTCCTTTGATCAAATAGCGTTTCTATAAAGTCAAAAGAAGGCACTTTTGAGGATAACACACACCTGAGCAAACCTTTCCTTTACGGAACAGTGTCTGAGATAATGTCAGAGAAGCACTGGTGTCAGTTAAAAGGTTGATAGCACCACACACTTCACGTGGATGATGTGATTATTTAACACACTTCAGGTGGATAATGTGCCAGAGCCTTGAGCTGGGAGAGTGACTCTAAGTTCTCACCACGGTGGGCAAGTATTTAATCAGCAGGTTTCACTCTGACCCTGCTTACATCCATTGTTCTTGAAATAGATGAGAAGGTGGAGTTCTGGATGCCTTTAATCCTGGGGAAACCTATCTGTCATCCCTACTATGGCCAGACTTACTTTTTAAGTAAAGGTTTCTTTTCCTCTTAGGTCATGATGATGAGACAAATGTGTAACCTCTGAGTCGTAGTTACTGGTGGGTAGAAATGCTGCTTAGTATTGAAAAATGAGAACTAAGAAAATCAGCTATTCCTCAAATGCCAGAACAAACCAGTTTTTACAAAATGAGCTTCAGGGTCTTTTTTTTTTTTTAAGATTTATTTTTATTTATTTATGCATACAAGAACTGGGGTGTAGGCCAGAGTTGCAGGGGTGGGGTGTGTGTGAGAGGATTCACCGGACACAGAGTGGGGAGCAGAACAGCTGGATCTACTGAAATACAGTGCTGAGGGGAGCAGCAGGGAGACAGGAGAGGTCTGCTGGGCCATGTGGGTAGCTCCCTAGCTGTGACTTGAACTCATGCCATAGTGGCTGGCAATAGCTTGATAGCACTGAGACTTTAACCCCTGTGCTATCAGGGAGGCCCAGCCTCAGGGTCTTTAACTTGATACTAAAAATAATGAAAATCAAATAGCTTAAATGAAAGTCACTGAAAGATAAATTTTTAGAACATCAACAACTATAAAATAATGCAATAAAGACAACTAACAATATGAAGCTATTTTAGAGGGATAGTGGAACAAATTAGCATCCAGAAATATATTCCATTATGTGTAGACTTTAATAAATGCAAGGAAAACATTTATTTCAATAGGAAATGATTTATTTATAAATATTGTTGGTATAATTGACCATTCTTTTGAAAGAGCTTATCCCAGAGCTGCTCATTCTAATCTTCCATTGGCTTTTGTAGAATTAACTGAGCACATGGTCACAAGTGTTACAGGCAGTGTCTGGTGGGTCTTGAAAGAAAGGTGCCGGTCTTCTACCCTTCTCTCCTGCCCACTGGACTGTGGATGTGGCACATGGGGGTGGCAAAAATGAATGGTGAAGTGAGAGGACACAAGAAGCCTGGATTCTTGGATGATTTCATGGAGTGGTCTCTATATCAGTCTGAAAATGCCCATCTCCCTACAATTATGTGAAAGAGAAAATGCCATCCTGCATAAATCATAGCTATTGGGGGATTTTGTTACATGCAGCCAAATCTATATCCTAACTAATGCAGAACTAATTCAGAACTGCCCTTCTGCATTATACCATGAACAAATAAAAATTGAAGATGGATTTAAGGATCATCTAAAAAATAGGCCATTTATTTTGCCCAGTAATCACAGTTTGAAGGCGCCATTGTACAGAACAAATACGTCATACCAACCTTACAGATTGTGACCATATTGTTTATAATAGCAAATATCTCTCAATATGATAATACTTAAATATAGTAGAGAATAGCCTTTCTGTGGTATACTATGTAGTTACTAAAAAACAATGAATTAGACATATATTTATTAACCAGGAAAGTAGCCATGATGTATTGTTGAAGTGAAAATGTTTGCAGAATGGTGAAGGTTTTTTGATTTTTTTTGTGTGGTAAAATATACATAACATAAAATGTACTATTTTAACCATTTTAATTGTATATGATGGTGGCATTAAGTACACTCACATAATGCAACTATCAGCACTACCTATCTCAGAACTTTTTCATTTTCCTATAGTGAAGCTCTGTATTCTTTAAACAGCAGCTGGTCATTTCTCCCCATCTCTGGTAACCACTGTTCTGCATTCTGACTGTGGATTTGACTGCCAAAGTATTTCATATAAATGGAATCATGCAGGGTTTTTTCCTTTTGTGACTGGCTTATCTTACCATAATGTCTTTCAAGGTTCAACTTTATTATTGCATGTATCAGAATTTCATTCCTTTTTTTAAATTATTATTTTTTTTTTATAAATGTTTGAGAGACCAGGAAACGACTCTAGATTTATTTATTTATTTATACAATCAGAAGCACGGGAGGGTGAGAGAATTCAGAGCCAGAGCGGTGAGCGGAACAGGCAGAGGGACCGAAGTACACTGCTGAGGGGAGCACAGGGCGTGGCAGGAGAGGTCTGCGCACCATGTGGGACCCTCGCCAGCTGCTGGGGATTGAACTGGCACTGCAGAGGCTGCGGGCAGCTTCGCAGCCCAGCGCTCAACCGCTGCGCCACCAGGGGAGGCCCCAGAATTTCATTCCTTTTAAGACTGAATAAGATTCCATTTTTCTTTTTCAAGATTGTTTGACTCTTTGGGGTTCTTTGAGATATCATACAAATTTTAGGATGGATTTTTCTATTTCTGCAAAAATTATCTTTGGGATTTTGATAGGGATTGCATTGACTTTTTAGATTGCTTTGCATAATATTGACATCTTAAAGTTAAGTCTTCCAATCTATGAACACAAAGTGTCTCTTTATTTATTTATATCTTCTGTAATTTCTTTCAGCAGCTCTTTCTGTAGTTTTCAGTATCTGTCGTTCATCCCCTTTGTTATTTCCTAAGTATTTTTTTTTCTTTTTTGATACTATTGTAAATAGAATTGTTTTCTTAACTTCCTTTTCAGATTTTTTGTTAGTATATATAAAAACAACTGATTTTTGAGTGTGGATTTTATGTTATGCTACTTTGCTGAATTCTTTGATTATTTCTAAAAAGAAAGGGGTGTGTGTGAGTGTGTGTAATAATAGGGTTTTCTACATAAGTGAAAAGACATAATTAGTTCTTTATATGTTTGAAATAATTAACCAGTGAAACTATTACGGGGCTTTTTTTTTCTTGGGAGGTTTTTGATTATTGATTCAATTTTCTTACTAGTTACAGCTCTGTTCAGATTTTTTATTTCTTCATGAGTCAGCCTTGGTAAGTCGTGTATTTCTATGAATTTGTCCTTTTTATCTAGTTTATCTGATTTGTCGTCATATCTGTTCATAGTACAAGCGTTCAAAATTGTTGTAATCTTTTTATTTCTATAGCATTGGTAGGAATCCCTTTGAATCTTATCTCTTTTTTCCTTAGTCAGTCAAGCTAAAGTTTTGTCAATTTGTTAATCTTTTTTTAAGAACTGACTTTTGTTTCTGTTGTGTTTCCGTTCTCTATTTTACTTATCTCTGCAGTAATTTTTATTATTCTCTTCTGTTATAATGAGGTTTAGATTTTTCTTCTTCTAGTTCTTTAAGTTGTGAAGTTAGGTTGGTAATTGGACATCTTGTTTTTTTTTTTTAAATAATTTCCAGGTTTTTTTTTTGTTTTTTTTTTTAAGATTTATTTATTGGGCCTCCCTGGTGGCGCAGCGGTTGAGCGCTGGGTTGCGAAGCTGCCCGCGGCCTCTGCAGCCCGGTTCGATCCCCGGCCGCTCCCCCCGCCACCAAAGGAGGTTCCCACATGGCGCGCAGACCTCTCCTGCCTCCCCCTTCTCCCCTTGGCAGTGTACTTCGGTCCTTCTACCTGCTCTGCTCCCCGCTCTGGCTCTGGTGAATTCTCTCACCCTCCCACACTTCTGACTGTACCCAGTGCTTGTATAAATAAATAAATATAAATAAATAAATCTTAAAAAAATTTTTTTTAATAAAAAAATAAAGATTTATTTATTTATGCATATAAGAGCTAGGGTACAGGCCAGAGGTGTGAGAGGGTGAGAGGATTCTCCAGAGACAGGCAGATCTTCTGAAATAGACTGCTGAGGGGGGCAGCAGGTGAAACACGAGAGGTCTGCTGCACC